GGAAGTCATTGAGGGAGGCCAATGTTCAGCAATAGACGTACTTTAGCTGAAATGATGATAATGAATTTTGTGACAATAGGAACGCTTTTAACAAACAATATCTCAATACTTCTTACCAATCGACCATAGCATTACAATAGGTTTTATTTACGTATATGGGACTTAAACCCATGGTGCGGAAGTATGTCAGTACATCGCTGACCTTAGCTATGTGGACCGCGCGTCATCGAACCATTCTATTGTCTGTACCAGTTATTTTTATGGCACCATCTCTATGGTTCAAGGGCGCGAACTGGGAACACAATGGAAAAATGTGCGGTAGAGCCATTGGATGAAAGATAGGGTTGTCTGGTTCAATAAAAAGAGTTTATACTTCAACCACACCGACGCGTGCCACCATCGCCGGCGCGATCAAAATGGCGATCAAAGGCTAATGACAGCTCGCGCGACCTGTCATTGGCCTACGATCGCGCCGGCGATTGCTATCTTCACGCGTTAGTGCCTTTTCACACGTTCCGGTTGCCGACTATCCGGCGCCGGGTACCCGGTTGTGAAGTGTATGGGCATGGTACGTAGCTTTCACATGTTCCGGCGTAATTAATCCGGCATTCCCATACATTCGCGACCGGGTACCCGGCGCCGGATAGCCGGCAACCGGAACGTGTGAAAAGGCACTTAGTGTGGTTGAAGCTTAACAGTTTAAAACACTTGAAAAAATATGCGGGTTAAAATTTTTAATTCTTACTGCGTAATAATACCTCTATTTCTATTGTCTGTCTGTGGTAAAAATGACAGTTATTAGGTTTGTTCCTCTTTTCTAATGGCCATGTTTCTCTATTACCAGTTGATTCTTACGTCTCCTTTTCAGGATTTTTTAAGTTTTTTTTTTGTTGTAATAGGAAATCTTAGATTTAATGTCAATTCTCCGAGTTAAGGCTGAGTTGCACCACATAACTATGACCGTGACTTTGACGATAACCGGTGTTTTTGGTATGGAGTTTGACAGATGTTTGACGTTTGTTAAAGTTAAAGTAAGATGGTGCAACCCAGCCTTAAAGTAGATAAACAAAGATAATCTACTATTACTATTAGAAGTTGACTCTATAGCCTTTTAAAACTGTTTTTACTGATCACCTCTTATTCATGCTAGCATCACGAAGAGTGACAGAGGCAAATACAATTATTTTGCGGAATGTATAACGAGCTTCAAGCAATGAAATAGCCCGACCCGTTGTGCATTCTGAATGGACTATACGTAGTAAATATGACGTTATTGTCATAACTGAGATAGGATATAGTAGTCCCAGTCGTTCAAGTCTACTTATTTATTAATTCTGTGTCATACTTGCGTGTTATGGCATCAGCCGTTGTAGTTCCTACTCATTCTTCATCCACTGCGGTATTATGTACACCGATTGTGAAATTTGGCAAAGCTACCTGGCGTTACATCGCCGCACTACAACTAACTATCAGTATCGGTGATATCCCAACGAAATTGGTCTCTCGACATGTCATTTTCCGCGGATATAACCTAACCGCGCCCGCGTTTTAACTGTCACTTTGACACGCCCAACTTTTTCAAAATGGCCGCCGTTTCAGAAGAAAAATAAAGTGGAAATCTCTGTGACCTTGCCAGTATCATATCCAGGCTTTGCCCTGTGGACGAGTCATCTATTTATACCATAGACTAAACCTTCGGGGCATGCCTCGTGCTAAGTGGTTTGATTGACAATCGAAAGTGATATGCTGCAATGTGAAGAGAAAGTGAAAATATCTGTGTGGAAATTGTGCCGTCTAAAGAAACCGTGACTGTGTTCTGAAATACTTTTTGGGGTTCGTTATCAGTTTTCAAATTAATTTCGATCCATTTATCTTCAATTCAAAAGTTCCTCAGTCTTTCGAATCCCAGTGCCGAAGTTCTAAATCGACTTTCCTCAAAAATAAAACTGTTAATTGAAATAACTAAAAAGAACCGGACGTTGTGTTGCAAATTGTTGTCATAAATAAACGAAACATTTAGAAAAAACTGTGCTTTGATAAAAACTGTGCTGCAAAAACATTTAAAACTTAAACTGCTTACTACTTAAATATCAAAGACGATTGTGACAAAGTTATAGAAAAAAGTAAACATAAATTGAAATCATCAAAAACACTTCAAGATATTCAAAGTTTGGGTGCTTAACAGAACTTACCATATACGAAGACTTTACGGTGCTTAAAGATTTATACAGAAACCACAAAAGTATCCTTCAAATCACTGTGCAGAAGAACTTACACCCAAACCACTCGAGCAGTCTACAAAATAACAAAAAACTAAAAAATTGGATCTGCCGAGCGGCTTCCGCCAGATACCCATCACCGCCGCATGCTAACGTACTACGAGGCGCTGATCATCCTAGCATGCGTGACGACGAGTATCCTCGCCCTACGGCATGAGGTGTGGGTGTCGTCGGTGCTTCGAGCCGCGTCCGCGGAGCGTCGCGCCAGGCCATGCGCGCCCGTCGCAGCCCCGGATCCCGCTCGTCGGGCAGAGGACGTATGGCGTCAACACGTATCAGGTTCAATATTGATACAATCATTATCAAACGATTCAATGTTGATAGTCCAGTAATAAACATGATCTATAGTCCAGTAATCCTAGTAGTATAGTAGAAAGAATAAAAGTATAAATAGTAATTTGAAGTTATCTAGATGATTTTGTCGTGTTTACTGAAGATGAAGAAGAACATAATACGACAATCTTAATTTAAAATCATTAAATAGTAGTTTAATTTAATGTTCAATTAAAGGCTAATACATTAAGCTTAGATGGTACTTTTAAAGTTATTGATAGAATTACTTTTTACCTACATAAACTACTACTGTTTAATAAAGTACATTACCTAAATGCTAACTCAAACAAATAAACCCTTTATCCAATCCATAATGTTGACGTGTAGAGCGCGCGTCGTATCGCACCGCAACTAGCCGCCGCTCGTCGCGCGTCGTCGTGTCGGGCCGCGAGCACAGCCGATGGGCGGTGGACTTCGCCGCGGCGACGCTAGCGCGAATGGTAGCGAACGGTTGCGAATAGTCGTGTGAGGTGGTTTCTTGAAGTTTTTTACTAACAATAAGATTTAAGTTGAAGCGAAATGTAAATAGAAAGGATGATTATTAGACTTATGCCCGTTTTCACCATCAATCCCTAATTTTTAAGTGACCCTTATGAAAACAAAATTACTGGCATGTGTTACCATAGGGGTCATTTAAAAATTAGAGATCAATGGTGAAAACTGGCCTGGCTTCTGAAGCTGGAAATCTCATTCCATCAACTGTCCATACCATAGCAATGACAGCTAAGAAAATGATTCGATTTAGCTCTAAGATTCCTATTAACTTATGTGATGCTGAGTGAATGTACCTACTGTTCACATTTATTTCGTAAGATTATGAGGAAAGATGAGTGTGAGAAGGATATGTTTGAATCTAAGTATGATTTAGTAGAGAGAGTGGAAGTAGAAGAGATGCGTGTGAGTGAAAAATATATAAAAATAGTTTTTCTGTTTTTCTTTTACTTTAGTTCTTGGTCTTTCCCATTTTGTAGTTATTTACGATATTTGATTTTTTTCTAGATGTGTTAATACTAATTTTATTAAGACCTAGTTTAGTATCCCAAAAAGGTGAGTACGGTAATTGCAAAAAGTTTTCATTGCCCTTGTAAATATATTTTAGAATCTTTTGACATTTGTTTAGTATAAGTAGTTAATGCATGAGTTTTATTAACTTATTTTTATTCTTATTATTTTTTTAGTTGAGTTTGAATAAGAATGCTTTTACAAAAATGCACCTTATTGTAGCGTTACAAACACATCTTGAAATACACGGCAGCACATCAACTGCAAAAGCGGCTCTTATTTCGCAAGAAACAAGGTCGGTTTTAAGGTCAATATGTCACGTTTGATGTGCAGTTGTATTCCCATAGTTCCTCTCAAGCTTACGGCACGGTCATAGATCAAATTAAATCACATTAAACGCACACAATGACAAGTTTCTTTATACTTTGTTTATTATCGTCTTTTTTTTTCAAACATAAAAAATGCACCGTTAGCTTATCTGAAGCTATAGTCTGGTCTGCCAAGCTACCCATCCTTATCACTCGCGCGTAATTATATTGCTGTCGCGACTGTGCGACGGGCGCCCGCAGTGAGTGCGCGAGCGCGACAGCAACATAATTACGCGCGAGCGATAAGGATGGGTAGCTTGGGGTCATTGGACAAAATTCTACATGCTCACAGACCGGACTTTACCTTTTTAAGATGACCTGCCATTGTTTACCTGAAAGTAGTAGCCATTTTGAAACTGCACCGTGCCATATGAGATTATGCCACTCTATGTTAATGGGTTTTATTGTGGGTGTTAAGTCTATGACCGTACCACAGCTTGAGGCATATACTGGTGTCCATTGATTACGTGAATCTAAAATAAGTTACAAAACCTTATTGAATGGAAGCTCACTTCCATCTTCGTTCATCTTCACTTTCCATCAGGTGAGATGCAAGCCTTAGCCTGTACTATAGCACTTAATCAAAATAAGGAGGGCGCTTTTATGAAGTATCACTATATTTTTACATTCTTAATTTATCATCATCATTTTCGGCCCCTCGAAACCCATTGAATCTCTTGAATTCGAAACCCCTTAGATCCCATGAACCCCTTTGGACCGGACCCCTGGAAATCACTCACTTGTAACCCCTCGACACCCCTTGTAAGCCCCTTAACACCCCTTGTAAGCCCCTTGACACCCCTTGTAAGCCCCTTGACACACCTTGTAAGCCCCTTTACACCCCTTGTAAGCCCCTTGACACCCCTTGTAAGCCCATTGACACCTCTTATAAGCCCCTCTACACCCCTTGGAAGCCCCTTGACACCCCATGGACCGGACTTCAAATCAAACATATCACGTAATCAACGAACGCCACTACCCCCTAAGTCTCCACATACTGAGTCGTTACCCTGCGCAGGAGCTAGCGGGTGGCAAGAGTGGCCCCAGCGGGTTGCGTAGGAGCAGCGAGCGGTCCGACTCGGTGCCCGACGCGAGAGAGAAGACGTCCAGCCATACCAGCGGTGAGTGACACATCAATCGTCATCATTTCAGCCATAGGACGTCCACTGCTGAACATAGGCCTCCCCCAATGATTCCCATATCGCCGCCTGTATCTAGCTCCTTCCTGCTACCTTTATGCCATCATAAATTATTCAGGCTATATTTACTTTAACCTGACCGCAGTCTGCGTCGCAGATTTGCACCGTCTCCAGCTCCACATAGGTTTTTATCTTCAAAACAGTCCCTTCATCGCCCACCCTCTCATCATCATCATCATCATTTCAGCCATAGGACGTCCACTGCTGAACATAGGCCTCCCCCAATAATTTCCACAATAGCCGGTTGGTGGCGGCCTGCATCCAGCGGCTTCCCGCTACCTTTATGAGGTCGTCGGTCCACCTTGTAGGTGGACGTCCTTCGCTGCGCTTTCCCACCCTCTCACTACAGGAAATATACTTAGTTATAGTTTTTCTGTCTCTTCCAGGCTTGAACGGTCTCCGCAACATCGGCAACACGTGTTTCATGAACAGCGTGCTGCAATGCCTGTCCAACACGCGGCCGCTGCTGGAATACATGCTCGAAGACAAATACGCAGATGAGCTTAACACCACGCTGTCTTGCATGAAGGGCGCGCTCATGAAAGGTAGGCATTTTCCATGCAGGACCCTTTCTATAGGTACCAGAGCTGGAGGATTTGGTCTAAGCATACTTTCCACGCTGGCCAGATGGATTCTACTCTTCCGCAACCACTTGGCAAGTCGACCTCTGGCAATACTCTTAGTTGACAAAGACAGCTAAAAACTGTGCAGCTTTCTCGTCCTATTCATGCAGAAGCAGAAAAGGTGCATAGAAGCAAAGATAGTCCAGGACTACTTTAAGTTTGAGGGAGCTAGCATAAAACTGCAGGAAAAGAGCGTTCATGAAAGGTGAGTATATGCGTTTGTAGGAGTCATCTCAGTTTGAAGGAGACAACAGGAAACTGTGAGGATTTCTAAGTCCATGACAATGTCCTGCATCAATTGAGCGCTCCTAAAAGGTGGACATTCTCAAGGCTGAGTTTTCCAAGTCTGAAGAGAGTGAGTCCCTCAACCCTCTATTGGCCATTGGGAATCAGTAGCACTATCCCCCAGAGAGTTCTCTCATCTCACAGCGTGCTCCAATGCCTGTCCAACACGCGGCCGCTGCTGGAATACATGCTCGAAGACAAATACGCAGATGAGCTTAACACCACGCTGTCTTGCATGAAGGGCGCGCTCATGAAAGGTAGGCATTTTCTATAGGTACCAGAGCAGGAGGATTTGGTCTAAGCATACTTCCCACGCTGGCCAGAAGATTCTACTCTTCCGCAACCATTTGGCAAGTCGACCTCTGGCAATACTCTTAGTTGACAAAGACAGCTAAAAACTGTGCAGCTTTCTCGTCCTATTCATGCAGAAGCAGAAAAGGTGCATAGAAGCAAAGATAGTCCAGGAGTACTTTAAGTTTGAGGGAGCTAGCATAAAACTGCAGGAAAAGAGCGTTCATGAAAGGTGAGTATATGCGTTTGTAAGAGTCATCTCAGTTTGAAGGAGACAACAGGAAACTGTGAAGATTTCTAAGTCCCTGACAATGTCCTGCATCAATTGAGCGCTCCTAAAAGGTGGACATTCTCAAGGCTGAGTTTTCCAAGTCTGAAGAGAGTGAGTCCCTCAACCCTCTATTGGCCATTGGGAATCAGTAGCACTATCCCCCAGAGAGTTCTCTCATCTCACAGCGTGCTCCAATGCCTGTCCAACACGCGGCCGCTGCTTGAATACATGCTTGAAGACAAATACGCAGATGAGCTTAACACCACGCTGTCTTGCATGAAGGGCGCGCTCATGAAAGGTAAGAGTTTTTTAGGTTTGACGAAAACGGGGGCAGCTATGGTCGGTTCTAAGGCTGGAAGACATCCAGCATTTGACGGAGGTAGCTTAAAACAAGTTATAGAGTGATGGTGCTAGCTACAGGTTTTCCTGAATCCTGCATGGTAGTGTCCTCGTGAAAGAGCATCTGCTTTCTTAAGGCATGAAGGGCGCGCTCGTGAAATGTAAGCATCTGTCAGATAAGATCATCTAATGTTGGGGACATTCCATCCAGACCATATCCTCTTGCCTTACCAGAGGCTACGGTGTCCCCACGCGATTTGGTCTAAACTCAAACGCTGGCCAGAAGGAATCTACTCTTCCAGAACCATTTGACAAGTCGACGACTGACAGTTAGTTCTCTTACTTTTATGGAATCGGCTAAAAACAGCATTTCCAGTGTTCAAGGCTCATTGAAGCCAAAGTTTGTTCGCAAGTCCAGGAGTGCTTTAAAGCCGGAGATAGCAAAAAACTGCAGACTTACAGTGTGCTGCAGGAAAAGAGGATTTATAAAAGCATCTGCGTCCGTAAATATTTTTATTTATTTATTTACACTTTTGCACATACAACTGTACAGTGGCGGACTTAATGCCAGGTGGCATTATCTGCCAGTCAACCACAGGTCAATTTTTCTCAGTTTGAAGAAGAAAGCCAGAAACTGAGGCTTCCTTGGTCCTGACGAGCTCACCAATACGCTGCATCAAAGGAGCTCCTCCGCGTACCGGAAAACGCAGCGTGGGACGTCCACCTACAAGGTGGACTGACGACATCGTAAAGGTAGCAGGGAAGCGCTGGATGCAGACTGCTACCAATCGATCAACGTGGAAAGCATTAGGGGAGGCCTATGTTCAGCAGTGGACGTCCTATGGCTGAAATGATGATGATGAAAGGATCTCCTGAAACGGTTCTGATTCAAAGAGCTAGGTTCTTTCCAAGTTCCTATTCAAGTTATAAATAAATTAATAAAGTTGTATAAAACCAATTTTGAATATACAATCGTCTGTTCCAGCGTTCGGCAGCGTGATCAAGGAGTTGTGGCGTACCGGCGAGTGCGACTCCGTCGTCAACACGACTACCCTCAAGTCGCAAGTGCAAAGATTCGCGCCGCGGTTCATGGGCTACAGCCAGCAGGATGCTCAGGTGATCATTAGCTTCATCATCATCATCATCATCGTCATCATCATCACCATAATTATGAATAGTCAACACGACTACCCTCAAGTCGCAAGTGCAGAGATTCGCGCCGCGGTTCATGGGCTACAGCCAGCAGGATGCTCAGGAGAATATCAGCTTCATCATCATCATCATCATCGTCATCATCATCACCATAATTATGAATAGTCAACACGACTACCCTCAAGTCGCAAGTGCAGAGATTCGCGCCGCGGTTCATGGGCTACAGCCAGCAGGATGCTCAGGTGATCATCATCATCATCATTTAGTCAATACAGGGCGAGTGTGACTTTTGTGAACATCGCCAAGCTGAAGTCGCAGTCACAGCCTGAAGGACAGGTGATCAGCAACTTAATCATCATCATTTTCAGGCATAGGACGTCCACTGCTGGACATAGGCCTCCCCCAATGATTTACATATTGCCCGGTTGATACCAGCCTGCATCCAGCGCCTTCCTGCTTTACATTTATGAGGTCGTCAGTCTACCTTGTGGCTGGATCCCATGCTGCGTTTTCCAGTACGTGGTCTCCACTCCAGAACCTTTGCTCCTTCGGCCATCAGTTCTATGTACGTCATCATCATTTATAGTCATCACCGGTGATCAAGTGCAGAGATTCGCGCCGCGGTTCATGGGCTACAGCCAGCAGGATGCTCAGGTGATCATCATCATCATCATATTAATAGTCAACACAGGGCGAGTGTAACTCTTGTGAACACCACCAAGCTGAAGTCGCAGCCACACCCAGTGAGAGGACAGTAGGTGATCACTAGCTTCATAATCATCACCGCCATAATTCACATCATCACCTTAGTGTGTTGTTGTTGATAGCCAAAAATGCAGCTAATCACCGTTGGGACCATTTTTACCTTCATCATCATCATTATAATACTCAATCACAATAGGCAGGATCCTTTGGCACGACTAGACATCCCGTGGCATCCTTGGGCGTGCTAAAATGTGGCCCAAATTCGACTATGCGGTCGTGTCAAGCTTAGTATAGCCTTCCGACGTATCCCCTCCGATCATCATCATCATTTCAGCCACAGGACGTCCACTGCTGGACAAACGCCTCCCTCAATGATTTCCACATTGCCCGCTTGGTAGCAGCCAGTGCCCTCCAGCTACCTTTATGAGGTGGAAAGACAACCTTTCCACCTTGTGGATGGATCCTCTTTCCCAGTTTCTTTACTATCGCATTGCCTTCCATAGATAACTACCTATTTCAATGTTTATTTATTTTTATTTATTTATTAGGTATATACTACAGTTGACAATCGAGTTTTGTTAGTAGATACTTAAGTACACATGGTTAACACAGCATGATGAATAGCGACACAGAGTATAACAATGTTAAATTATAAAACAATAAAGTAATTTGAAGTTAAAGTTTCCGTTCTAATGGTTACCTTTGCGAGGCACCGAACTGAGTAAGTCAATGTTAATGACCATGAAAGTTCAAAAACAATAGAAAGTTATGGAGATTATTTATTTATGGGTCAGAAAAAACCAGCGTCTTCATAAACCTTCCTTGCATTGACAGGAGTTCCTGCGGTACCTTCTGGAAGGTCTTCACGAAGACGTGAACCGCGTCACCGTCAAGCCGAAGCCGATACTCACGGAGATCGACGACAATCTCAGGTAAACACAATGTTTGTTGCTAAATTTTTTACTATAAGTAATAAAAAAAAATATTTTTTTATCCACAACGAGGAAACTCTTGGCCTGTACCTCACCTGATGGTAAGTGACGATCAGGCCGAAGGTGGAAGCGAGTTTCACCCGGAATCCTCAACCACGGAGGAACTGGCTATCTTACCTCTAACTGCCGGAACACAACAATACTGTTAACATTGTTGTTATGGCGACAGACTTAGGTAAGATGGTGGTAGCTAGCCAGGAGGACTTAGAACAAGCCCTACCACCAACCAGACCGAACAGAAAATTCTGCCCCCACTGGGAATCGAACCCGGAACCTCTGCGTCTGAAGTAGGTAGTCTTCTCTTACCACTAGACTACAGAGGCGGTTGATTAAAAAGATAAAGCGCACCAAAGTTTAAAAGAAGAGGCCCGTGACGTCAATTCATGCTTATAAGTGTAGCACTTTGTGACGTAACGCAGAACTTCAAGTGCGTTCAAGAGCTGGGGCAGCTGCTTAAGCCAAAGTATCTGACGTAAAAATCTGATTTGCCCCCCTTAGACCAAAAGCTGGGTACGCCTATGACTTCCTTTGCCTTTCTTTTTGACGTTTATACAGAGTGTATAAACGTCAAACAACGACACTGATGCCAAAAAAATATTTTTAAAAAATCATGGAAAGTTTTAAATCTTGGTCAACCAACACTGAAATTTCTTTTCATCTTTTCCAGCGACTCAGCCAAAGCAGCAGAAGCGTGGAACCGCTATCTTCGAATGGAGGATTCACGCGTCAGTGACATCTTTGTGGGCCAGCTCAAGAGTACCCTTCGCTGTACGCACTGCGGACATGACAGCGTCACCTTCGACCCGTTCTGGGACTTAAGGTAATGGAAATAAGGTTAAGTATGCCTTGGCAGGTTTTAGGTGATGTGGTGCGCAAAAATGGCGCACTGTACGCACGCAGGGGGAAGCTATTCTAGGGCTTATACCGTGGGAATAAAGTACAAATTGCTGTGGTATTGTGATATCTTCGTGGGCTAGTTCAAGAGTACTCTTCGCTGTACGCACCGATGACAGCGTCACCTTCGACCCGTTCTGGGACTTAAGGTAATGGGAATAAAGACGAATTTGCTGTGACAGTATGTAGAATATTCGGCGAGCAACATTGGCGCATTGTAAATATACAGGGAGAAGCTATTCTAGGTCTTATACCGTGGGAATAAAGTGCAAATTGCTGTGGTATTGTGATATTTTCGTGGGCTAAAGCCTGGTCCGTGAGCACGTAGAATCCCGTCCAATGACCCCAAGCTGCCCATCCTTGTCGCTCGCACGTAATTATGTTGCTGTCGCGCTCGCACACTCACTGCGGGCGCGCGTCGCACAGTCGCGACAGCAATATAATTACGCGCGAGCGATAAGGATGGGTAGCTTGGGGTCATTGGACGGGATTCTACGTGCTCACGGACCAGGCTTTAGTTCAAGAGTACTCTTCGCTGTACGCACCGATGACAGCGTCACCTTCGACCCGTTCTGGGACTTAAGGTAATGGGAATATGGGTCATATTGCTCTGGCAGTTTGTAGAATATACGGCGCGCAACATTGGCGCATTGTAAATATACAGGGAGAAGCTATTCTAGGTCTTATACCGTGGGAATAAAGTGAAAATTGCTGTGGCATTGTGATATCTTCGTGGGCCAGCTCAAGAGTACTCTTCGCTGTACGCACTGCGGACATGACAGCGTCACCTTCGACTCGTTCTGGGACTTAAGGTAACGGAAATACGGCTGAGTTTGCCTTGGCAGGTTTTAAGTGATGTGGCGCGCAAAAATGGCGTACTGTACCTATGCATTCTACGATTGGTAGAAGCTATCCTGGGCCCTACATCTTGAAAATATAGTTCAAAATTGACTGAAAACTTTCTAAGACTTTCGATAAAGGAGAAAATGTGTATTAACCAGACACACACACAGTTTCACTTTTCGTTGTGTAAACTTTGTGGTGGGTCTGTTCACAGACTTTGACCGACCATTTCGTGATCTGTGATTTTTAAACGTACCCTAATGTCAGCTTAACTTTTTCCGGGGACAAATTTTAAGCCAATGAAATGGTTGTTTTATTGACGGTCGACTTGTAGAATATAGATCCTTATGAGTTGCAACAAGAATGAGAAATAAAAAAAAACTCATAAAACTCATTTATTTCTGTAAGTAGGCTTTAAAAAAGCACTTTTAAGTGGAAAGAGTGTTCCCACCTCTCGCTCCCACTTCATCTGCATCATTAGGGTACAGTGTACCCTTTCGTGCATCAATTTAACTTTCCACTTCATTTGCATCATAAGGGTACAGTGTACCCTTTCGTGCATCAATTTAAGTCTCTGGTTGAGTTGAGTCGTTTTCCAGGGAGACCCGGAATTTTACATGAAGCAGCACGAATAGTATCTATGTAGGCGATGATAAAGTATGTACATATTTCTAATATTTTCTGGAGTGGGCACTAGAGTCTAGCTAGACCATTTTGGATACCCTAAGGGCCCTGCAACACTGGTGGATTGCAAGCGTTTTCAAAGTGAAGCGGCCACGCAACGAACACACATCGTGTGCGCAACGATACACTGTATCATACGCCGCTCGCTCGAGGCGCAAATGTTGCGCATCCGTGGCGAGTTCGCTGCGTGGCCGCTCCGCTTTTAAAACAGCTTGGAAACTCGCTTATAATGTAGATATAGTATTAATACTTATTGTATTGCCTGCAGCCTGCCGATCCCGGCACGCACGGGCGCGCTGCGGCTGCAGCAGTGTCTTCAGCATTTCACGCGCGAGGAGGAGCTGGACGGCGACGAGAAGCCGGTCAGTAGCCATAGGCGTTTAATAAATGAACACCCAAAAAATCCCTATCTAAAACACCGCATTGCAATGAGGGTTTTCGCGAATGAAAAATCCGCCAGATGGCAATACGTAGACGCGAGGTCCAAATGCTGCATGATTGGTTATTTTTGACATGACATTGACAGATATGTCAAAATCCACCAATCACGCAGCAGTCAGACCCCACATCCACGTCCCGCCATTCGCGAAAACCCTCATTGGAGTAAACTGCTAAAGCCTGGTCCGTGAGCACGTAGAATTTTGTCCAATGACCCCAAGCTACCCATCCCTATCGCTCGCGCGTAATTATGTTGCTGTCGCGCTCGCACACTCACTGCGGGCGCCCGTCGCACAGTCGCGATACAGTAGCAGGAAGGCGCTGGATGCAGGCCGCTACCAACCGTGCTATGTGGAAGTAATTGGGGGAGGCCTATGTTCAGCAGTAGACGTCCTGTGGCTGAAATGATGATGATGATGTACCATTGGTTCGCCATCCTTGCTCTAGTTTATACTCACGTTTATGATTCTGCCTCGACTTCAACCCTCATTTCTACTAGTATTTAAGTATCTTAATCTGTAAGTCTAGATATTAGCACGTTACTGCCTTGTTTAATATATCACGCAATTTTGTATACCCATTCTTATAAGATACACCATACAAGAATGCATGGTAAATTCAGTGAACTGCTCCTGAATCCAATATACCTACTACTGCTTTTTCTATTTATTTATATTAACCGGCAGACAGTGGTGACTGAGTTTGTTGCGGCGCTTCTTAGCACTTGCCAAATGTTGGTCTCGAAGCGCTGGTAGGGTAAAAAGATTATGAGACATGTAGAGGCTCCTTAAGAGCAAAATATTTGACAATTTGTAAGAACTATTTATAGCCTGACCAGGAACATAAAAACCCTCGCCATGTTGCGGAAAACTAATGGTACTAATTTCTTTTAATGGCAACAGTAACTGAAAACTTCATTGACATGTCACCTTGCATGTCAGTCTATTGCTGTCAAAGTGTAAACAAACTTTATTTTAAATGTGCGCAATTGATTTTGTGAATTAAATTGCTAAAATCTTTTTATAGTCGTGAAAGAAAAGTGGTTTACAATGTGTTAAAGTATTTGTCGAAGAGAAATACTAAGGGTTCGGACAATATTTTCATTGAATAATGTTTCCGACAAAAGTTGTCNAAGAGCTAGGTTCTTTCCAAGTTCCTATTCAAGTTATAAATAAATTAATAAAGTTGTATAAAACCAATTTTGAATATACAATCGTCTGTTCCAGCGTTCGGCAGCGTGATCAAGGAGTTGTGGCGTACCGGCGAGTGCGACTCCGTCGTCAACACGACTACCCTCAAGTCGCAAGTGCAGAGATTCGCGCCGCGGTTCATGGGCTACAGCCAGCAGGATGCTCAGGTGATCATCATCATCATCATCACCATAATTATTAATAGTCAACACGACTACCCTCAAGTCGCAAGTGCAGACTGCAGAGATTCGCGCCGCGGTTCATGGGCTACAGTCAGCAGGATGCTCAGGTGATCATTAGCTTCATCATCATCATCATCACCATAATTATTAATAGTCACACCACCACACTCAAGTCGCAAGTGCAAAGATTCGCGCCGCGGTTCATGGGCTACAGCCAGCAGGATGCTCAGGTGATCATTATCATCATCATCATCATCACCATATTTGACATCATTATCACCTTAGTGTGTTGTAGTTTATAGCCAAAAATGCAGCTAGTAACCTTGGTAAATTTTTACCTTCATCATCATCACCACTGTTCACCACATTAGGGACTATACCTTAGTTCTTTAGAAATTTCCCTAAATGTAAACAAATATGGCCAACTGACATTGACGAATTTTTAGTCTATGTCAGTTGATCTACTAGTGATGCGACAAAATCTCTCGTGAATCGCAATTCTGTAAATGTCATTTACGGACTGCAACTGATTGATATTGAGATCAGTAATGTGATCGTCAAAATAGGATCTTCTTAATCCAAGAAAATTTAATTTTCCCTTTTTTATTTGTTTAGGAAATATAATTTAAATTATACTGTGGGTCTAGACAAAGTGCACAATAAAATCGTAAACCAGTCGAAAAGTGGTCGAAAGGCCTTTTTTATGTGACACTCGTCTGTATAATAAAGCTGAATTCAAAGACTTCTTCGCAAAGTGTGTTGTTGCATTCAATGAAGAAAAAATACATTGTTGAATATAATCTTGTTTATATTTTATTTTAAATTAATATTATCAAAGTACCTAATTGGTAATTGAAATAACTGAATACTTGAAATAAAATCGATAAAATTTACAGATTATTATCTATGAATATTGTCTATGACTTACAGATTTTCCAGAGATAGGACCTAACTTTAAACGTCAAATGTCGATTTGACATTTTAACATGAAGCACAAATATTCACCATCCAAATATTTTGTTAAAATATTTTGTTTTCAATGTTAGATTTCATATTTGTTTCATCATGAGAATAAAGTTGGTTTCATGAGCTTGTGAAATAATGTGTATGATATTAAGAAAACGTGAGTATTATAGTGTAATTGTGTGCACAAGTGTTTGTTTACATCGATGGAAATTTCTAAAGAATTTAGGATTAGGCACATTATCGGGACAGCACGGTCCTTAGGCATAACTAGAAATCCCGCGGCAACCTTAGGCATGCCGAAATGTGTCGCAAATTCGCTCATGCAGTCGCACCCCCTATGATCATCATCATCTTCATTGATATCAATTTCTAAACATAGGCCTCCCCTAATGATTTCCACATCGCCCGGTTGGTAGCGGCCTGCATCCAGCGCCTTCCAGCTACCTTTATGAGGTCGTTGGTCCACCTTGTGGATGGAACCTCTTTCCCAGTTTCTTTACTATCGCATTGCCTTCCATAGATAACTATTTTAATGTTAGTGACCATGAAAGTTCAAAAACAATAGAAAGTTATGTAGATTATCTATCTTCTAACTATACAGGGTGGAATTTTGTAATGCCACCTGGAGGGAAAGTACTCTTCATACTGTAGATAGAAAAAACTGACTGACTGACTGACTGACATATCAACGCACAGCCTAAACGGCTAAACGTAGGCACTTGAAATTTGGAAGGGACGTAGCTTAGGTACCGTAGAGGTGCACTAAGAAAGGAATCCCCGAAATTCCCACGGGAACGGGAATTAGCGGGAAAAGCCTTTTGTATGAAAAATCTAAACCGCGTAAGATAGATGAAGGGGGTAAAACGGGATCCACGCGTACGAAGTCGCAGGCCGCTAGTTTATTTATGGCTCAGAAAAAACCAGCGTCTTCATAAACCATTTGTAAGAACTATTTATTAGTCCAAACAAATAAAGAAATTTTGACTTTGACTTTGACTTTGAAAAACCTTTCTTGCGTTCGCAGGAGTTCCTGCGGTACCTTCTGGAAGGTCTTCACGAAGACGTGAACCGCGTCACCGTCAAGCCGAAGCCGATACTCACGGAGATCGACGACAATCTCAGGTGAACACAATGTTTGTTGCTAAATTTTTCACTTTAAGTAATAAAAATAAAAAAAAATTTATCCACAACGAGGAAGCTCTTGGCCTGTATCTCACCTGATGGTAAGTGACGATCAGGCCGAAGGTGGAAGCGAGCTTCACCCGGAATCCTCAACCACGGAGGAACTGGCTATCTTACCTCTAACTGCCGGAACACAACAATGCTGTTAACATTGTTGTTATGGCGACAGACTTAGGTAAGATGGTGGTAGCTAGCCAGGCGGACTTAGAACAAGCCCTACCACCAACCAGACCGAACAGAAAATTCTGCCCCCACTGGGAATCGAACCCGGAACCTCTGCGTCTGAAGCAGGTAGTCTTCTCTTACCACTAGACTACAGAGGCGGTTGATTAAAGAGATAAAGCGCACCAAAGTTTAAAAGAAGAGGCCCGTGACGTCAAGGCCTGCTTAAAAGTGTAGCACTTTGTGACGTAACGCATAACTTCAAGTGCGTTCAAGAGGGGCAGCTGCTTGAGCCAAAGTATCTGACGTAAAAATCTGATTTGCCCCCCTTAGACCAAAAGCTGGGTACGTCTATGACTTCCTTCACCTTTCTTTTTGACGTTTATACAGGGTGTGGTTTTATAAAACAAGTGGTAGTATACACGACACATGCCAAAAAAGATATTAAAAATATTTAAAAAAATCATGGAAAGTTTTAAATCTTGGTCAACCAACACTGAAATTTCTTTTCATCTTTTCCAGCGACTCAGCCAAAGCAGCAGAAGCGTGGAATCGCTATCTTCGAATGGAGGATTCACGCGTCAGTGACATCTTTGTGGGCCAGCTCAAGAGTACTCTTCGCTGTACGCACTGCGGACATGACAGCGTCACCTTCGACCCGTTCTGGGACTTAAGGTAATGGAAATAAAGACGAATTTGTGGTGGTGTGACGCGCAAAAATGGCGCACTGTACGCACGCAGGGGGAAGCTATTCTAGGTCTTATACAGTGGGAATAAAGTACAAATTGCTGTGGCATTGTGAGATCTTCGTGGGCCAGCTCAAGAGTAACTTCGCTGTACGCACTGCGGACATGACAGCGTCACCTTCGACCCGTTCTGGGACTTGAGGTAATGGAAATAAGGGTCATGTTGCTGTGGCAGTTTGTAGAATATACGGCGCGCTACATTGGCGCATTGTAATTATACAGGGAGAAGCTATTCTAGGTCTCTCTTACACCATCTCTTGCATCTCACTTAACACCAGGTGCGATTGCGGTCAAATACCTGCCTTGTCTAGCATAAAAAAAGCAAAAAAATTCTAGGTCTTATATCGTGGGAATAAAGTACAAATTGCTGTGGCAATGTGATATTTTCGTGGGCCAGCTCAAGAGTAACTCTTCGCTGTACGCACTGCGGACATGACAGCGTCACCTTCGACCCGTTCTGGGATCTCAGGTCAGTTCCATAGGATACACATATTGTGATGAAACCAGAACGTTGAGTAATTTTTGATGCTGACAATAATTGCCTCGCTGACCGACGACTCTTTCTATGATCTTAGGTAAATAACCCTCCTTCTGGCGCAGTCGGGTAAAAGGAAATGAAATCAAAGTGTGTTTCTTTTCAGTTTCACTTTTTGTTGCGTAAACCTTTTGTGGTGGGTCTGTTTTCAGATCATAACCGGTCATTTCATGATCTGTGATTGTTTTATACGTACCCCAATAACGGTTTAACTTTCCCCTGGGACAAATTGACTATATTTTTATTAGCAACCAAACCAGTGGGTTAGACAAGACATGTAGCACGAACGAGAAGTGGGAAGATTGTTGTCACCTCTAGGTACAGTGTACCACAGGGTACAGTGTACCCTTTCTTGCATCAATTTAACCCGCAATTAAACGCTGGTTGAGTTATTTTCTAGCGGGGCAAAGGATGCGCGCCGTTATAAAATCTTATCGCATATAAGGGCTCTCGCGGAAGACCAGTTTCTTGACACATTGGCCCACTATTTTCTATATTCGTTTTGTGTTGTTATTGTTTACTAGCAGACCCGGCGAACTTTGTTCCGCCTTAATGGCAATAAATAAGCAGACTTTTTTTTTAACTTCGAACGGGATAAAAAGTATCCTATGTCCTTCTCCTGGCTCTAAACTACCTCCCTGACAATTTTCAGCTAAATCGGTTTAGCCGTTCTTGAGTTATAAGTGGTGTAACTAACACGACTTTCTTTTATACAACGTGTCCCAAAATTCAAGGATAAGCCGGCGCCGCAGGATGGATATAGTCATGACTACTTTAGGAAAAATAAGAAAAAAAATCTATCTTAATTATTTTTAAGTTACACAATAAATTATGAAATTCTTCGAAAATTGACACCCCTTATGATATTTTACATTACCACGACCACTATCTTTTAAATATTTCTGTTTTTTTGTTTGTATCGGCAACTTAAATAGTGCTGCTGTCCACTCCAATTCTTAAAACCCCCAGAATCCTTGCAGTTTTTACACAAAAGTTAATCAAAATATGATATTTCCTTAAAATTTTGAACGATTTTTACTTTCACTCCACTTTGACTCGTCGTTTTGTAAAAAAAAAGTATGAACACTACTGCGGCAAGTTTTTTATAAAGTTGACGCAACTATCCAAAATTCCAAAATGGTATAATACTCTAAGAAAACTAGTCGCAAAAAAGATATGCGTACCATTTTTACAAGCACTTCGCTTGTTAGTTAGTGTGGGACAAATCTTGCAACTGAATTTAAGACCAGTTCTCCTCAACCGATTGAGCTGAAATTTGGTTACATTGTGTAAGTACGATGACGATGCATTATTATGGTACCATTGAGCTGGATGGAGTCTGGAGGTGACCATAGGAACTTCTTAACGAAACGGCGGAATCGCATCTAGTTTGGGTTCGTTGGATTTGTCTTTTCGAGCACTTTAGTGCTAGATGATATCCAGGATCCTGATAATGAGTCAAGAGGTGGCCAGGAGCTGGCCAAAGGAACTCCTAAACAACTGGTTTAAAATTCAGTTGCAAGATTTATCCCATACTAACTAACAAGCGAAGTGCTTGTAAAAATGGTACGCATATCTTTTTTGCGACTAGTTTTCTTAGAGTATTATACCATTTTGGAATCTTGGATAGTTGCGTCAACTTTATAAAAAACTTGCCGCAGTAGTGTTTGTACGTTTTTTTTACAAAACGACGAGTCAAAGTTGAGTGAAAGTAAAAATCGTTTAAAATTTTAAAGAAATATCATATTTTGATTAACTTTTGTGTAAAAATTGCAAGGATTCTGGGGGTTTTAAGGATTGGGGTGGACAGCAACACTACTTAGGTTGCCGATACAAACAAAAAAACAGAAGTACTTGAAAAATTGTGGCCGTGGTAATGTAAAATATCATAAGGGGTGTCAATTTTCGACGAATTTCATTATTTGTTGTGTAACTTAAAAAATAATTGAGATAGATTTTTTTTCTTATTTTTCCTAAAGTACCCATGACTATGTCCGCCCTGTGGCGCCGAGTTATCGTTGAATTTTGGGACACGTTGTATATATATATAGATTATAATTTGTGCTTACTGTGTCCAATAAAGTCTATTTCTTTCTTTCTTTCTTTCTATCGATGATTTTAAATACATGCATCGAGTATTAACATATTGTATTGTCTACAGCCTGCCGATCCCGGCGCGCACGGGCGCGCTGCGGCTGCAGCAGTGTCTTCAGCATTTCACACGCGAAGAGGAGCTGGACGGCGACGAGAAGCCGGTCAGTAATAAGGACTCTTCATCATCATCATCATCATCATCACCACCTTTTTGGTCTAATAACCGCCTCTCAAAAGTCAAAAAGTCAAAAGTCAAAATTTCTTTATATGTTTAGACTAATAAATAGTTCTTACAAATCGTCATTTTGCTCTTAAGGAGCCTCTACATGTCTCATAATCTTTTTACCCTACCAGCGCTTCGAGACCAACATTTGGCAAGTGCTGAGAAGAAGCGCAGCAACAAACTCAGTCAGTCACCACTGTCTGCCGGTTAATATAAATAAATAGAAATAGTGTAGGTATCTTATAAGAATGGGTATACAAGATTGCGTGGTATGTTAAACAAGGTAGTGACGTGCTAATATCTAGACTTGACTCTGTGCTCTGAGACGTGGACTGTGGGTTTCATAAGAAGGCTCAAGGTCACCCAAAGGGCGATGGATTGGGCTATGCTCCGAGTTTCCCTGCGTGATCGAATCAGAAATGAGGAGATCCGCAGGAGAACCAAAGTGACCGACATAGCTCGCAGAATTGCTAAAACCAAGTGGCAGTGGGCGGGGCACATAACTCGTAGAGACGATGGCCGTTGGGGCAGGAAAGTTCTCGAGTGGCGACCACGGGCTGGAAGACGTAGCGTGGGCAGGCCTCCTACTAGGTGGACCGACGATCTGGTAAAGGTCGCGAGAAGAGCCTGGGTGCGGGCAGCGCAGGACCGTTCATTTTGGAAAACCTTGGGGAAGGCCTTTGTCCAGCAGTGGACGTCATTTGGCTGAAACGAACGAACGAACCGCCTCTGTGGTCTAGTATTAATAAGACCACCTTCAGAATAGAATAGAATAGAATAGAATATATTTATCTATATCTATATATATAAAAATGAAACCCGTTTCGCGTTGTCACGGCATCACGTGTGAACGGCTGAACCGATTTCGATAATTCTTTTTTTTAAATGTTTGTGGAAGTCCAAGGATGGTTCTTACGGAANTCAAATGCAATTGACGCGCCTCTATTCCAGGGTTTTTATGTTCCTGGTCAGGCTATAATAGTCTATACAAATAAAGAAATTTTGACTTTGACTTTGACCTGTTGTTCGTTGTCCACAGACGTGCTCGAAGTGCGGCGTGCGTCGCAAGTGCCTGAAGTGGTTCACCGTGCACAAGTTTCCGCAAGTTCTCGTGCTGCATCTGAAACGGTGAGGTTCATAGAGTTATTGTAGACTTAGCTGGACACTCACGATGTATACATACAAAAAACTGACAATCATTGGCGTATCTATGGGTTACTAGCTTCTGCCCGCGGCTTCACCCACGTGAATTTTAGTTCGTCACAGAGCCCTATATGTTATTTTGGGTTATAAACAATTATACTGTGAAGTTTCATCAAAATCCGTTAAGTACTTTTTACGTGAAAGAGTAACAAACATCCATACAAACTCGCATCCTACTTCCTACTAATATTATAAATCCGAAAGTTTGTGTGGATGTCTGGATGTTTGTTACTCTTTCACGCAAAAACTACTGAATGGATTTTGATGAAACTTTACAGTATTATTGTTTATAACCCAGAATAACATATAGGCTGTAATTTACGACGATCTGTGACAAATTAAATTTCGCGCGGGTGAAGCCGCGGGCAAAAGCTAGTTCATAATATTAGTAGGATTTTTCAGGGTGGGCCATGATATGGCCATTGGCCATACGTAGGATGGATACGGGATGGGGATAAATATCATAGCTCTCAACTATCATCGAATCGAAAGCCCCAACATTCTTGGGTTGAATTAATTGATAGATTCTTCATGTTAGAATCTGCCCTAAGATGTACATATTACATATAGTTCGTGACACCCAAAGTGACCAAAAATTTGACAACCCAACCTTATTCCAATTGTAAAGCGAGGTTTAGAATAGAAATAAAACTTGCAGAAGTTGACTTTGCCACAGCTATTTACATACATAGTAGTAAACAGCTTGCGGTAGTTTTCTACAAAATTTCTAGTCTAAACCACGCTCTACAAAGACGTGTTGCGATCTTTTTACCTACTTTGGTTGTCATGAACTATTTGAGTACTAGCGGCCGCCCGCGACTTCTTACGCGTGGACCTTCGATTCACGGCTTCCCGCGCATGAATAATTTACGAACGTCAAATTTTTTTGCCCAGCGCTGTAGATTTTAACCAATGACGATAGATGGCGCTTTTTACCCACGTCTTATTTATTTATTGAAATTTAGTTAGTCACATATCGTTATAAAAAATGTATAGCCTATATGTTAATCTGGGTTAAAAACAATAATACTGTAAAGTTTCAACAATATCCGTTCAGTAGTTTATGCGTGAAAGAGTAACAAACATCCAGACATCCAAACTTTCGCATTTATAATAAAATATGTATTAGTAGGATTTGGCGCTGACTGGATAAGCAATGACTGTATTTTATTCTTCCAGGTTCTCCCCAACCGAGCGCTTCCGCGGCAAACTGAACGTCCTCGTGGAGTTCCCGCTGACCGGCCTGGACATGGCGCCCTACGCCGCCGTGCGCGCGCAGCCCGTCTACAACCTCTACGCCGTCAGCAACCACTCAGGTACAGTGCACCCGACTGTGTACCCACCCACCTAACTTGTGTACCCAACCACTCAGGTACAATGTGTACAACCCCTACGCCGTCAGCAACCACTCAGGTACAGCGTACCCAACTGTGTACCCACGCACCTAACTTGTGTACCCACCTACCCGCTTGTGTACCCACTCGGCCACCCTGTGTACCCAACCACTCAGGTACAATGTGTACAACCTCTACGCCGTCAGCAACCACTCAGGTACAGCGCGCCCAACTCTGTACCCACCCACCCAACTTGTGTACCTACTCACCCACCTTGTGTACCCATCTACATCCCGTGCGCCGTTAGCAACTACTCAGGTACAAAACACCCGCTTGTGTACCCAACCACTCAGGTACAATGTGTACAATCTCTACGCCGTCAGCAACCACTCAGGTACAACGCACCCGCTTGTGTATCCACCCACCCAACATGTGTACCCATCCACCCAACTGTTTACCCACCCAACTTGTGTACCCAACCACTCAGGTACAATGTGTACAATCTCTACGCCGTCAGCAACCACTCAGGTACAACGCACCCGCTTGTGTATCCACCCACCCAACTTGTGTACCCACGCACCCAACTTGTGTACCTACTGGCCAGCTTGTGTACCCACCCACCCGCTTGTGTACCCACCCACCCAACTTGTGTACCCACCCACACGCTTGTGTTGTAAGGCGCTTTTCTTAGTGACGTCATAACAAGACGCGTCTGCGAACATCGTTGTCTGGAGCGATCGGATGAAGGTTATGAACTATGGTTAATAAAATGTCACTCCAAATAGATATCTACTTAACCTCCATGTGTGAACTTGTGTACCCATCCACCAACTTTGTACCCACTTGCCTATAACAAGGTGCAACATACTTCACTGTCAATTTGTCTACTGAAACTACATTTTTGTCATTGCAAAATGATACCTATCCCAACGACATAAGACGCAATACTGATTAGCTATTTGGTGACAGGAACCACATACTCCGGCCACTACACAGCGTACTGCAAGCATCCGTACACCGGCGACTGGCACGAGTATAACGACTCCAGGTGAATATGTCTCATTTACTTTTTTTTCCTTGCGTGATCGAATCAGAAATGAGGAGATCCGTAGGAGAACCAGAGTGACTGACATAGCTCGCAGAATCGCTAAAATCAAGTGGCAGTGGGCGGGGCACATAGCTCGAAGAGCTGATGGCCGCTGGGGCAGGAAAGTTCTTGAGTGGCGTCCACGAGCTGGAAGACGTAGCGTGGGCAGGCCTCCCACTAGGTGGACCGACGATCTGGTGAAGGTTGCGGGAGGTGCCTGGATGCAAGCGGCGCAGGACCGGTCTTTGTGGAAATCCTTGGGGGAGACCTTTGTCCAGCAGTGGACGTCTTTCGGCTGAAACGACGACGACGAACGACGACTTTTTTTTTATTTGGGACAACTAACAAGACCGATACTAATACAAGCAAAGGGTTTTCACTCACTATGAAATTGTATCAATGTACAGTGGGGCACAGTTCCAGCTACCCATTTCTGTTTTTCTCTGGATCTCATCAAATTGCGATTCTTTGCGATAGAACGAGACGATATGACAGGGTAGCTAGAAGTGCGGCCCATAGCAGGCCTGTTCATCTCCGCGAGTTTACATCGAAAACAAAACACGCACGATGGCCCACCTACAGGATACTATTCGACAAGGCCTCACATACGAGCGAACATTGACTCACGCACGCGTATTCTCTCTTGGCTTGTGTATGATGGAAGAAGATAAAGAAAATGGTGTACTAAATACTGTGCAGTATTTAACTGCCTAAATAATAATAAAAACACAGAATGTACTTTTTTAAGTTGCCTCAAGACACTGAGAGGTAAATAAGTAGTTAATATTATTCACGATAATTCATGCTAAATCATGTATTTCCTCCGCCATTTTCCGCAGTTTGGCACCTCACGTCACATCATTTTACCGAAGTCAGCCCTAAGCTTCGGCGCAGTGCCGATCACTGACGTTCGTCAACAAAATGGTGCTTGACTCTTGAGACAGGCTAAATTACACCATATTGTTAATGACATTGAGCATACATTTTTTTAAATACCTTCGCGAAGAAAAACTTCTGTACGTAGGGTAAACCACCCAATCATTGGCACTCTACCAATTTATTGGCATGCTCCAGTTTTTTAAGAAAATTAAGGTTTTTTGTAGCCGAACCTTATATTTTTTAGTAGAAATTGTACAGTAATATCATTTATTACTCAACTGTCTACACACGTTTTTTATTTTTTCAAACACCGCGGCGCATCAACCATTTGTTTGACAAACCGGGACCTGTGCGAAAAAAACAATCGAAATATTCGTTTTTTACTAAGGTAAGAGCTATCATAATCTTTTAAAAAAATGCAAATCTATTTTGTTTTCCCTATACATAATCATTTTGTCTTATTATTGAATATATTAACTGCCTTTTTAAAACATTATTTTATAATTTAACCGCCAACTTTTATACAACGTGTCCCAAAATTCAAGGATAAGCCGGCGCCGCAGGTTGGACCTAGTCATGACTGCTTTAGGAAAAATAAGAAAAAATANTTACCCTAGTACTTATTATTATTCTGTGCCCATAGTACATAGCCGGTGGTTCCGGCAGAGTAGAATAGGATGTTGTAGGAGGTTGGTGATTAAGGGTGGATTCGACCAAACAAGAGTAAATATTAATCTGAGAATAAACTTGTAATTTTGACATATTTCCCATACTGAAACTGTCAATATACCAGTTATACCAGGAGTTATTCTCGGATAAAAGTTTGGTGGAATTGGACCTAAGGGATAAAGATTATGCGAACATATGAATTCCGCAAACCGTCTGTCCACCGTGGGGAGTGTTGATCAAATCATCAATCTCATCATTTCAGCCACAGGACGTCCACTGCTGAACATAGGCCTCCCCCAATGATTTACACATCACCCGGTTGGTAGTGGCACAAAATATAACAGAAGGTAAACTCATATAATATGTACTTCGCTTCGCATACCTGCGCTCGGCCGCCGCGCTAGGGTTGTCTTGTGTTGCGTTTATTTCGTTATGATAGAAAAATGAAACTT